TCGATGTTTTGGGCGTTTGACAATATTCTTGTGTGAGTGATTAACACCATCCTTTTTGTTATCTAATTTTGTAAGAAGGGAATCTCGTCTTATCATGTTATACTTATTTCTTTTTATTCTTACTTTTTTGAATGCTATTGACACCATTATGATGTAATATTTGTTCATATTTTACTCTACTAATGACATACAACTAGCCAATGCTTCTGTCTTCGTTGAGACTCGAACCTGGATGAACTTCTCTATGAATCCTTGGGAATGCGCTTCCTACCACTCAAGCCAGGAGAGAGGTCCCCTTTTATTTTTACTCTATTTCAATTCTGAGTTTACCAAATAAATATTTTTCTAAAACACCTGAGATATATTTGGGTTTTTGTGTTAAAAATAAACACTTGGTATAGGTAATCATGTTTGAATTTGTAAAATAAAAATTATGGGCAATTTTAATTTGTATTCTTGGTAGGCCCAAATTTTTCTTAACCATTAAACTAAGACCAAGTGTAGTAATCATGTTTGAATTGATGATAAGAAGTCAAGTCCCACAAAGCACCCCCATAATGAGTTTTGAAGGGACATTATAAGCTAGCTAATGGAAAAAAGATGAATTCCATCCTCCACACTCATTCAAAATTTGTTGGACGATCACCTAAGAAGAGTTATAATAAGCTTTAATACTACGGAGTAAATTGATATGATGGTCAAAGTGGATCTTGCATGTCATACATACTTGTAGGAAGAGATTAGAAGAAGTTAAGTGTAGATATATCTCATGTGCATTGCCGCATTGGCAAAGAGAGATTAAAAGTTCATAGTCACACTAAATTAGACACGGAACTTTTGAGGCCTGTTTGGTATATAAAATTTGATAGAATCAGAATTGAATTAGAATTGAAATTTCATGAAATTGAATTCGATGGAATTGGATTCACCAATTTCAATTTATTTTTTGCACTACCGATTATATTCTAAATTCACATATTTAATGTGATAATAGGCTTCTTAAGAAGTCAATCAAAATAAAACTTAAATGTTAAACTTATATTGTACCTATGTTTTATCACTGAAATAAGTGTATTGTGTTGTGCAAGATCAAAATGGATCAATTGGATCATTTTTATGTTGACATTTTATACGGAGTATATAATATATAAATCATGTTTTAATTTAGTTAATTAGACAATTCTCCTTAATAAGACGGGATGGGAGGAGACATCATTTTGTTCCATTTGCCACATGTACTCATCACCAACCCTTCAAATATTCATCCACTGATAATAATTCAATTCCAAATAATTCATTACACCATCATCATCATCTATCTTTTCTTTTTTTCTTCTTCTTTCCTTTTTCACCGGCCACTTCAAGCAACACACACATATATATAGCCACATATTTAATCATTCATTCATTCACTACCTACACACACGTCTACTTCTAGTTACACATTCATCTAATTTCTTTCTTCTATCTCCTGCCAACACAAAAAAACAATGGTGGGATCAATTTATATTGCATCCACTCATTTGATTTTCGAGCTATATTATTACGTACTCATATTATAGTCTAGTCTAGTAGTAAAATTAATGTAGTTATGGAATGATGACGTATAGGTTTTGGTTGACGGCGGCGGCCATGCTGAAAAAGGTGGCGCAGCTGAGGAAAGTGCGGTGGATTATCGTGGCAACCCGGCTGATGGCTCGCGAACCGGTGGCTGGCTAGCTGCAGGCCTCATCTTAGGTAGGTCTTCAAATCCTTCTTGGTTGGTGAATTAGTTATTAGTCCTTATACATCAAATGTTGAATGAATATTAATTCAAATTTTGATGTATAATAAGAGTCATAATTGACAGTTACGTTAGTTAATTGATTTTCTCGAGCTCGTCGATTAGGGACTGAGCTTTCTGAGAGGATATGTGTAATGGGAATATCGATGAACTTGGTCACCTACTTGGTCGGAGATTTGCACCTTCCGTCCTCGAAATCTGCCAACGTTGTCACCAACTTCTTGGGCACACTCAATCTCCTCGGTCTCCTAGGTGGCTTTGTCGCCGATGCTAAACTCGGACGTTACTTGACCGTTGCAATTTCTACTTCTATTGCTGCTATTGTAAGTCTTCATATACTTCCCTAAGCCCCTAAAACTAGTCAAGAACAACAACAACAATCTGATTGAATCTCAGAAAAATAAAATTTGGTCCCTAAAACTAGTTAAATATAAATTTATCTTCTTATCTTACATAATTTACTAAAGTCGTTATGTAGTACGTTGACCATAATTTCTATCCAGGGGTATTAAGGACATTTCAAAGAGGGCCCTCAACCCATAGTGATATTAAGTCACCTTTCGTTTATTTCAAAAACAATTTACCTTCTTCCATATTTCGCTCATCCAAGAAATAATTTATCCACTTTTTTCGAATAAAAATATGTAGTAAAAAAATACTTCTCCCTAGTAAAATTGATTTTCTGAGTCTTTTTTTACTTTTCAACGCCTTCCCACACATTTTTTTTAATTTCTGTGAAGTCAAAAGGCGTAAATGAACTTCGGTGGGTTTGTAGCATGGCTCTTTAATTAATGTTAATGTCGCGTACGTTCTAGGGGGTGACATTGTTAACACTTGCTACATCCATTCCGAGCATGAAGCCCCCGCGGTGCGACGACTCGAGGACCATGAAAAGTCATTGCATTGAGGCGAGCGGGGCCCAGCTGGCTCTCCTCTTCATAGCTCTCAACACAATTGCTCTGGGTGGTGGAGGAATCAAATCCAACGTTTCCGGGTTCGGGTCGGACCAATTCGACTCGTCGAACCCGAAGGAGCGCAAGGCCATGATATACTTCTTCAACAGGTTCTATTTCTGCATCAGTTTGGGATCCTTGTTTGCCGTGACGATTTTGGTGTACGTACAAGACAATGTGGGGAGGGGGTGGGGGTATGGGATGTCGGCGGGGACGATGGTGGTGGCGGTGGCGGTTTTGGTGGCGGGGATGAGGCGGTACAGGTTCAAGAAGCCGAAGGGAAGCCCTTTGAGTGTGGTGTGGAGGGTTTTGTTTTTGGCATGGAAGAGAAGGAATTTAGAGTATCCTTCCCATCCTAGCTTCTTACATGAGTTCCACAATGCAAAAGTTCAGCACACCCCAAGGCTAAGGTAATTAATTATTTAATTAATTAATTATGTTGATTATTTATGTGAGAAAAAATCCAAAAGAGAATTAGAGTGGGCCTTAGCTTGGGGTTAATATAGTAAAGAGTAATGAAGTAGGTATGAGTTTGCATCTATCTTAATTCTCACATCACATGGTACAATGGCCCCCTTCCATTACAAATACCCTTTTGGGAAGGGCACAACCAAAAGCACGGACCACAAAAGTCCCTACCACCACATGCTAATAACACATTTTGAATCATATATTCCACATTCATTCATTTAATTATTTGCATCGGAATATGTATACTTCATTTATACCAAAAAATTGTTCCTATTTCATATTTTGCGTATTTCATAAAATACTTTTACAGTTCTACACACATTTATAATGTATAAAAATTATCCAATATTTTCTTTATTATTGGCCAAAGTTATTTTGAAAGTATTTTAAACATTTCAAGTGAAATTAAAGTATTTTATGTGATGCATAAAAATTGAAACAAAAGTACTCTCTCTGTCCTAAAATTAATTTCTCATTTTGACTTTTGCAGTCAAAGTTTTTAAACTTTGACTGCATATTACAGAAAAAATATATTGAATTTTCATATAAATTTAGTATCAATAGATTCATTTTGAAACATAGTTTTGAAATATATTATTTTGATAATGTATATTCATATAAAAATAGAGATATTAATGGTCAAAGTGTCGCATTGGAGACCGTGAAAAGTTAAATGGGAAGTTAATTTTAGGACGGAGGGAGTATTTTTTAAAGGCATAGATATTATAGGCAGACAAAAATGGCATTATTTGTATATGTACAAAAAATCGTTTTAATAGCCCCACAAAAGTCATGTGGCAATGTGACATTGGTGCATATGCATATTGTTTTTAGGGATAAGAATGAGGCATTAGTGCATATGCACATTGTTTTGTTATTAAGGATAACAATGTCATCATGAGGCGGTGACCGATATATAGCTCAACACTCCATACCACTTTCCGGCCTCTACTTCAATTAAAATATTCAACAAAATTATAAAAAAATTGAGTTATTTAGATCGACAAAAGATCAAAATTGCAGAACATTAATCTGGGTTTTTTAAGATTGTACTCTTTCCCCCAAAATATCCTCTCCTTCTAAAAAAATCTAGTTACTATTCACACAACAAATTAATTAATTTTATTTTTTATACATATTTATCAATCATTTCATAAAATAAAATAATATTGTGTCACCACTTGTTCTGCAGAACTATCGATGTAATCTTTTAATATATAATTTTAATTTTTGAATTCTATACCAATTTTTACTTATATTAATTTGAAAAAAACTTTAGTCTGTTAAAAAATCCAGAGGACCGAGAACAATGAGTAGAGTTCCAGATAAAATTAACCCCTTGCATATAAAGTCGGGATCCACTATTCTAATCCAAAAGCTTTAGTAGGGCTTCACTCTTCTATATATACAAGTGGTATTTTTCTTTATTTTCCGATATGGGAACTCCAACATAATCAAACATCGTAAATCGAATAAAAGTCTTTTTGGAACAAATAGAGTAAGTTTTATACACAAGTACATAAAAAAGTAGTACTCCCTACGTCCCATAAAGTTTGGGACATTTTGACTAAAGTGGTAAAATAAGGAGGGATAATTTTGTGTTGACTTTCCAAAAATATCCTTGATGTGATGGGTAAAAGAAGGATGTGATGGGTAGATTATTAGAAAAAAGATATGATGTGATAGGTAGGGTATGAAAAAGGAAGGGGTAAAAATGATTTTTTAATAGAAATGAGACGGACTTTAAGGGATGCAAATTTTTCGAAACGGAACTGACTTTATGGGACAGATGAGGTATTATTCTAACACAATTTAATTTAAACATCAGATGTCTAGACAAGGCAGCGGTTGTGGAAGAAGAACAAAACGCAAGGTGCGGCGAGGGATGGAGGAACAACCCATGGATAGTGTCAAGAGTGAGTGAAGTGGAAGAAGTGAAGATGGTGCTTAAGCTTCTTCCCATCTGGTCCACATGCATCCTCTTCTGGACGGTCTACTCTCAGATGAACACCTTCACCATCGAGCAGGCTACCTTCATGAACCGAAACGTTGGCGCCTTCCAAATCCCCGCCGCCTCCTTCTCCGTCTTCCTCTTCCTCACCATCCTACTCGTCACTTCCCTCAATGAGCAGGTCACCGTTCCTCTTGCCAGACGGTTCACCCGCTCTCCCCAGGGGATCACCAGCCTCCAGAGAGTCGGAGTCGGGCTTCTCCTCTCCGTTCTCGGTACGTCTTACTTTCCACTTTTGCTCTTACTTTATAGTCCATCCCAAAAAAACTCTTGGTTTGACTAAGAACAAATTAAGTTGAAGGAATGTGAAAATTGGGAAAACAATCACTGGGTTGGCCATAAGACACTTCAGATGAACCAGATTAAAAGATGTGAAATTTGCACTAAATATCATTAGAACATATATATGTCATTTTCTAAGGTAGTATTTAAACTTTTTAATTCTCTAAATAAAACTTAAATCATATCTAGTGACGGGAACAATGTCCAGCGGTGGTAGACATTGCAGTGGACATTTATTTGAACAATGACCAGTGGACATTGAACGATGGACTTACATTGAGAAATAAAAATATATGGTACTACATTTGGAAAGTCACTATGATTTAGTACTATTTAGGTAAATTCCCCGTAAAACATTGGATCAAATCGATTATTTAGTTCAAGTCAAGAGCTTATACCGATTACTTTTTTCTTCAACTTTTGATGTGGGATACACTCTAAGATCCACTATATGTTGTAATTAAACCCTAGGGATGGTGGCGGCTGGGGCGGTGGAGAAGCACCGGAGAGAGAGCGCGGTGAACAACGGCGTCAAGATCAGAGCATTCTGGCTGATTCCTCAGTTCTTCATCGTCGGAGCCGGAGAAGCCTTTGCGTACGTTGGGCAGCTGGAGTTTTTCATCAGAGAGGCGCCGGAGGGGATGAAGTCGATGAGCACCGGTTTGTTTCTCAGCACGCTTTCCATGGGGTTCTTCGTGAGCAGCGTGTTGGTGGTTGTGGTGGGGAAGGCCACCAAAGGCGGGTGGCTAAAGAGCAACCTCAACGTAGCCCGGCTCGATTACTTTTACTGGATGCTGGCTGTGTTGGGAGTGGTTAATTTTTCGGTTTTCGTGGTTTTCGCAACGAAGCACCGGTACAAGGCGCAGCTGCAGGGAGAAGAGCTGATCATCAAGACTTGTGATCAGGACAATGATGAAAAGGAGAGCGCTTAATTAGCTAGTGTTTTAAGGGCAAGAAGAAGTCATGTTTTTAACCCTAAACTTAATTGTCCTGAACCTTAGATCATATGGATTCTCATCTTCTCTTACTTCTTACAGACATGTCAAAAGACTTGATGTCTGTTTGTTGTGCCTCTGCAGGTCTACTAAAAAGTAAAAATTCTAAAATAAAAACGTGATTGAGGAGAAAGCTTGAATTGGGTCAGTTGAGTGAGGATACCAATTCAATGTAGTATAGAACAAAGATTGTGCATTTATACTCTATCCTCTAGGGGTACGTAATGTATATTTTCAAGTAGGGGTGCCCGGGTGGGTTTAGTTTGGCGGTTCGGTTTTCACCCAAAACTAAAGACAAAATGAAAGTTAAGTTGACGGTTTGGTTCGGTTCATTTTTGCGTAGAAAATATGTAAATTGTTGATTATTCGGTTCGGTTTTATACGCTTTTTATTTCGGTTTTTTTTTATTTTTTTGGTTTTTGAAAATAAAAATTTATAAGTATTGAAAATTTTAAAAACACTAACTCGATGAACCAAAAACAATGTGTAGGGTAGGGTTTGACTTTTTTGGTTTAATTTTTACTCAAACCAAAAACCAAACGGAAAGTTAGAATTCAGTTTGATTCAATTTTACATAAAAATATGTGTCCAATGCTCCACAAACATCTAGTAGATTCCAAACACTCCCAAAGTCTTCGTATCTAAATATTGATTATGGAAAATTTGTATTTTTTGGTATAATAGTTTCATTTTCATTATAACATCAAAAAATTTCATGTAAATATGTAAATTACTCGAATCAATTTTTAATGTTAGTATAATTCTGTATTAGGATTAGTTATTAGTGTTTATAATCCTACCAAGTTGACCAGAATTATGACCATATGTAGTGGATCCAATGTCATAGATTAGATGGCCTTAGGTAGTGACTATAAGTCCTAGAATGGAATTATGAATAATGATGAGATAGCCTTAGCCTAGAATAGGTTATGAGCAAGTATTAGAGATGAGCTACTCTAAGAACATGAATTTTGAACTGATAACTAATGCAGCTAATATAAGCAGTTAAGGTAAGTAACATGAAGGATGATGCATTACGATATAGTTGAGATTACTTGATGTTGTTATTGATATTACTTCTGCATAGGATGCTATGAATGATTATGTATGCTGAATTAGTCATATGTGTGACTTCTACTGTTAAAATCTCTCACCAAACGTGAAAGCTGAGGATGTAATTTGTTTTACTTGCTACACGTAGATAACAACAATGACAAATAAGAAAATAATCTTGGATAGCAGCGAGGATGAGGAGATGGATGAATTGTGGCTGAAGAGTTTACTAGACTAAATATTTCAGTTTGAATTTACTATGTTTTCAGGCAAGAATCCAAAATTGTGTTTTGAATTTAGTATTTAAGCTTCCGCATTGTTTTAATTACTTCAATGGATATTAAAACAATATTTTGGAATTAAATGTTTTAAAGTGTTTCGAAAATAAGACATGTTTGGATGCCAATCTGGTGACAACTCGATCTATTAATCCATATATTTTGGTTACGCGGGTCGGGCTGTTACTATAACAAACCCCAATGTGTCCATGTGCACCCATACAATCCAATTCCCATCGTTTACGGCTCGCCAATATGAAGACTCAACCAGACTAGCCTGTAGTCGGATCCGCTCACTAGTTCCCTTCCCGAGTGAGTCGCAACCTTTCGCTCACTAAGACTCGCCCATGTGACAACCTCTCTGACACCGTGGCCCTTGGTATCCTGCCTCCACATTACGTGGTTGGCCAAGACCTCGCGGCTCTTTGTGTGTATGCGTAATTGACCGGGGGCCATACAGTGCTCATTGATGCATAGCTTTGCTTCCCGTTTCGTATCAGCTTGGTCTCTAAGCACCTGTATATCTCTTCTTGTTCCTTCGCAATCTCCTCCTTGTTGTGGAGGCTTTTCAACAACGGCTCGGAACACCGGCCGAGAGTCTAAAGAATCTGTCAGGGCATACATGCATCGGCCCCGTTAAGGATTGTTGAAGGTCCCTACAAGGCCATATCCATCTTCTCTATCATGGAGTCCAAAATATTGGTAAGATTATTGTTAAGTGCCAATTACAACCATGATGGTGGAACGGCCGTTGCTACTTGCGCAGGGACTCTATGCCCCGCAGACGTGTGCTCCGAGTTGGCAGCCATCCTTCTGGCGTTTCTGCCTCTTCGTGCAACCTGGTGATTAGAGAGACTATCCCGTGCCCGGTGCACACAAGAAGCTATTACAAATAATTGAACTCCGACACTGCCGTTATCAAGATTCGACCCAAAGATCAATGGGTATGACACGCTGTTCTTGAACCAGTTGAGCTACTCATGTGGGCAGAAAAAGTAGAATCGGGGGTATGGTGGAGGTCTCACATCAAAAGAGAAACGGAGCTAGGACAACATGACGAAAGCGCGTAGAAGACCGCGAGCATTATGTTTGAATTACAGAACGATTGCCGGAAAAGGAAGAATAAAGGAAGGATAACTACTAGACTCTCGTTAAGTCCTTAGCATGTAGCATACAGCGTACAACAATATGAACTTTTCCCCTGTACCATTATTTTTTATTTTTGGAACACAAATGAGTGGAATATGATTTTTTCTTTTACAATTAGATTGTATAATTCATACTGGAATTAAAATTAAGATATAATGACAACGAAGGTTGGCCATACAAATATTACAAGTATGGTACTCTTTATGATGTTAAAATAGTGGCACAAACTAAAAATGTAAAAAGTGATAAAAATAGTACTCCATAGAACATAAAAAAGTATATACTATCTCTTCTCTAAACATGGATTTTGGATTTTCATTCCACAACAAAATTACACTTTTTTCATTTCCTTTATACAGATTTCTCTCTTCTTCTAAACAAAGAATAATACAAAATACACAAGAAAAATAATTAAGGGGGGACAAATTAAGTACTCCGTAGTATCGAGCCTAGAAGATCTATTATTTTCCATCCATACAATGTTTTATCAAAATCAAGTTACGGAAATGTGAATTTAAAGACTGAAATCTAATGGTATCATGCAAAGAAATGCACGTTTGGTATAACAAATTAACAACAAAATAGAAATAGAGAAGCAAAACACATTGAAATTTGTTCTCACATGATGATCGATTTCAAGGACCTGGCTTTGATCGGTTTCCGCACTTTTTTCTTCTTTCCAACCCCATCTTCCACGTAATCCAATTCTTCCCCGCCGTGGATCGGGTCATGGTGGGAGGTGTTTGGCAAGTCGGTGTTGTTATTCCTCGCCCGACCCGGACCTCTTTTCTTGCCCCATAGCGGCCCGAACCCGGTGTAATAGTACAAATCTTGCTGCTGGTTCGAGGAGGAGGAGGATGCCGAATGAGTCTTCTTCTGCCGGGGGCGGCTATTCTTGCCGGCCGGAGCAAGAGTTTGGTTCCCGGCCGCAGGGCGAGCCAAGTTGTTGTAGTACTTGATCTGCTCCAAGTGGTGGTCGCACAAGGCGCCGCCGGATTTCGCCTCCCTCTTGCACTGCCACGCCTTGCCGTCGGTCTTGGAGCACAGAACCGCCGCCGTGCGGCCGGAGCTGAGGGCAATTAAATCCGGCAGCAGAGCAATCAGAAATAGTATACATAAAAAACCCTAATTATTGTGTTCCGAGGAGGAGGAGGGGGGAAATAATAGACGGAATGGGGAAATTGAGTTGACGGCGTCAAGGCTAACCTCTGAACGGCTCCGTTTGAATCGGGAAGGGGACGAGTTCCGCCGCATCCGCCGGACTGCAATAAGAACTAAAAAACGGGGGGAAAATCAATGAAAATGGGGAAATAGGGGGAAAACAGAGGAAACAGAAGGGAGGAATCGAAGGGAAATGAATAAAGAGACGACGGAAATGGGGAGATTTGGAGGCTTTCGCGAACCCTAGCTAAAGAGAGGTTTCCAGAATAATACGGAGTAATACCCTAAATAAACCCAGACCAAACACCGAATACAGAGGAAAATTATATGAAAACAGAATCGTCGGAACAAAACAGAGAGAGAGAGGGGTGATAGGAAGCTGACCAGATGCGGCGGCGCCGCCGCGGGATGCAGCGACGACGGGGAGGGTTCGTCTTCGATAGGGAAGGTGATGACGTCCCAAGGAGACTGATTGAGCTGACAGATACTAGTCGGAAGCTTGACGGCGCCGGGCTTTATCGAGGAGGTGGCGGCGGCGGCGGTGTACGTGAGAGGTGACACCTTCGCATGCTTCCTTATTCTCATGGCGGAAAGCTCACTCTTTTTTCTGTCTTATTATTTTTATTTTTTTTTGCTTTTCGATTTGTTTGGTAGAGAGAGACACTAGAGATGGATAGAGATAGAGAGGTGTCTTAGTTATTGTTATGAGCAATGCTAGGGATACATCAAAAGTGTAACCTATTTGTCTCCCACCCCTTTCTCCACCCCTCTATTTGATTTTATTTTTATTTGTTTAATTTTTTTAATCTCTTGCCTTTTTTTGTGGTTATGGAGGAGGTGAAAGACAAATGGGGTACACCAAAAGTGTACCCCTAACATTTTCTATTGTTATTGGCATGTAGACTTTGTAGTAAAAGCACTGGAAATGCCCCTCACACCCACCGGCGTGATACGGGCGTTTAACGCCAGGGGGCGTTAAACACCGCCCCCCTTCGGCGTGATTCGGGCATGAGTTCACCAGCGTCATTAGTTTGACGCGGCGTGGCTGCGTTTTTTAGCCGGCTCCCCCCTTCCCAACGGCTATATAGCCATTATCCCCCCCCCCCCCAATTTAAAAAAAAATCTATATTTATAAAAAAAACCTATAAAATCTCCCTGTCTCATGCATCTTTCTCACACCTCTCTCTCACAAATCTCTCTTTATTACTTTATATTCTCTCAAAAATATTTATTATTTATTATAAATATTTATAAAATATAATTTAAAAATGGGTTCATCTTCCGACGATGAAAGAAGAGCTTTATTTTTTCGTTGTTTCGCGACGAATTGTATTCAATGATGGGAAGATGGCCAAGAAGAAGCCGAATCCTCCCGACGACGGACCTGACGTCAACGTCTAAACCGGGATCGAGCGGCCGCCCACGATTCACTTCTAAACGACTACTTTAATAATCCGTGTGTTTATACACCGGAGGATTTTAGTAATCGTTTTCGGATGAGTCGTCCTCTCTTCTTACGCATACTCGCCGATGTTGAACGCGAGGTTCCTTGGTTCAACCAACGGTTTGATGCGAGAGGCCGACGCGGGTTTAGTAGCGTCCAAAAGTGCACTGCCGCGCTCCGTCAGTTGGCGTACGGGACGGCATCTGATATGTTCGATGAATACTTGCAGATGTCGGCTCGGAGCATCAGGTCCTGTGTTTATAAATTTTCAAAAGCAATTATTCAAATTTATCATAAAAGATATTTACGCAAGCCTACAGCGAGCAACATCCAGCAGTTGCAGGCCAGGCATGCCGCTAAACACGGCTTTGTCGGCATGCTTGGGAGTATTGATTGCACGCATTGGGAATGGAAAAATTGTCCCACTGCGTGGCACGGTCAATTCTCCCGGGGAGATCATCCCAAGCCTACCATCATGCTCGAAGCGGTTGCTTCGAATGACTTGTGGATTTGACATGCTTTTTTCAGTGTCGCGGGCTCGAACAACGACATCAACGTTCTCGATCAATCGCCTGTTTTTGACGATTGGGTTAATGAGACCGCACCGGACTCCTCTTTTGAGCTTAGAGGGACGCTTTACAAGCGTGGATATTATTTGGCCGATGGAATATATCCGGATTATTCCACGATTGTCAAATCCCTCTCCGAACCAATGGGTCTTAAACGCCAAACCTACAAAAAAGCNCGGTGTCGCGGGCTCGAACAACGACATCAACGTTCTCGATCAATCGCCTGTTTTTGACGATTGGGTTAATGAGACCGCACCGGACTCCTCTTTTGAGCTTAGAGGGACGCTTTACAAGCGTGGATATTATTTGGCCGATGGAATATATCCGGATTATTCCACGATTGTCAAATCCCTCTCCGAACCAATGGGTCTTAAACGCCAAACCTACAAAAAAGCTCAAGAGGCGGTGAGAAAAGATATTGAACGAGCCTTTAGGGTCTTGAAGGCTAAGTGGCACATTCTAGATCGTCCGTCGAAATGTTATTCTCAGACAAAAATGAGGAATATCATGTACGCATGTATTATTCTTCATAATATGATCATAGAGGATAACGGGTCTGCGATTTGTCAATACAACCCGGACGAGGAGGTGCCTATGTATGAAGAAATCACCGAAGAAAAGAAACGACGCAACCGCCAAGAAATTCGAAGCTGAGAGATTCACAATGCACTAACGGCGGATTTGATCGAGCATATCTTTAGTCGTTCGAATAATTAGTGATTTCTTTGTACTGTTGTTTTTTATGTAATTTTTTTTAATGAATGTAATTTTTTTTAATGTAAGATTTTTTTATAATGAATTTAATTTTTTTATGCACTAGTGTCATTGCGATTAATTAAAATAATAAATTAATTTAAACTTATTAATTTAAATTTAGAGGATGTATATTTAAAAATGTAAAAAATGGTTTGAATCCCCAGTTTGAAGTCCCGGGGCTTCAAAACCATTTCCAGTGAATTTTGGGTGTAAGTTAACGCTGACGTGGCAGAGAGAGAAGGTTTGAAGCCCCGGGACTTCAAACCCATTACCAGTGCTCTAATCTTTAAGGAATGCTACATTCGTTTAATATTTGCTACTTTTGACTTTTTTTTATTATCAATCATTTTCAATTTTTATGTATACTTATTTATAATACTCCATTCATCCGGAAAAAATATTTTTTTCCATTTGACTTTTTTTGGTCAAAGTTTGTAAACTTTGACTATGATATATGGAAAAATACATTGTATTAAGATATAACTTTAATATGAATATAGTCATTTTGAAATATAGTTTTCAAATATCAAATTTTTATAGAATATATTCATGTATAAATAAAGATATTAGTGGTTAAAGTGTAACCTTGGAGACCGTAAAAAGTCAAATGGGAAGAACATTTCCGGACGAAGGAAGTATATATATATATATATATATATATATATATATATATATATATATATATATATATATATATATATATATATATATATATATATATATATATATATATATATATATATATATACTCCCTCCGTCCTAGAGTATTTGTCCCGACATATATACTCNAATCCCCGTAGCCGAGGCGTCGGTGTCAACCACAAATAAAATACCAAAATCGGGCAGACGGAGGACAGGGGCAGTAGTTAAAGCCTCCTTCAACGCAAGAAAAGCTTGAGATGCAGCCTCAGACCATTTGAATGAATCCTTTTTTAATAGGTCGGTGAGAGGAGCGGATAATTGGGCATAATGACGAATGAAACGTCGATAATAGCCCGTGAGCCCCAAAAAACCACGGAGCTGCCTCAGCGTCGTCGGAAGAGGCCATTCAACCATGGCTGCAATCTTGGATTTGTCCGCATGTAAACAACCCTCACTAATAACATGGCCCAGGTAGTCGATTGACTTGGTACAAAACGAACATTTGGACAGTTTAACAAAAAAAGAATGAGTAGATAATAATCCCAAAGCAACCTCCAAATGCTTGGCGTGATCCCCAAGAGAAGAGCTGTAAACGAGAATATCGTCAAAAAACACAATGACGAATTTACGCAGGAAAGCCGCAAATAAGCGATTCATGCATGATTGAAATGTCGACGGGGCATTCGTCAAACCAAAAGGCATCACTCGAACTCATAATGACCTTCATGTGTTCGGAATGCCGTTTTGTATATATCACGATCATGCATGCGAATCTGATGATATCCAGATCGCAAATCCAACTTCGTAAAAAATCTAGCCGAACCAAGTTCATCAAAGAGTTCGTCTGCGGTTGGAATAGGAAAATGATCGGGAACCGTAACCGCATTCAAGGCTCTGTAATCGACGCAGAATCTGTAAGTACCATCCTTCTTTTTCACCAAGAGAACCGGAGAGGAGAAAGGACTCCTGCTGGGCTGAATTAAACCTTGGTCGAGCATCTCATGAACCAATCGCTCAATTTCATTTTTCTGAAATTGTGGGTATCGATAGGGCCGAACATTCACTGGTTTGGACCCTTGTTGAAGGAAGATACGATGGTCACTTAGTCGCCGGGGTGGCAGACCCGTAGGGATAGCAAAAACAGTCTGAAACCTCTGTAAAACATGCATGATTTCCAGCGGCAGTCCCTCTGGCCACGGGTCTGGAGTGGTGTCGGGGTCGGCTGTCGCACCAAGAAACAGTTCAAAACATGCCGAGAGGTCCTGAGCAACATACAACATCTGACAATGGTGGAGAGTTATTGGCCGCAAAGATGGTGTTCCGCCCT